CAAAGCGGGGGGTTCACGACTTTATATAAAAAACGAAGAGAAATTAAAAACATCGCTTTATAAGTACCTAATTGTGGTTAGGCTTCACATGCTGATATTTTTAATTTTTCTTCGTTTTTTATATAAAGTCGTGAACCCCCCGCTTTGTTTTTACGCGTACTGTAATCGCGTGGAAGAATTTTGTAATTTTATAAAGCCAAATTCAAATTGCTCACGATTAAAAAATCGAAAATTTCAAATATCAATATCTTTCTCATTAGACTTCTGACCCGAGTGTTTCAAGCATAAAAACGTTCTGCGGTCCGCAACTTATCCTGGTATTATTTTAGGCGTAAAAACTACAATAATAAAAAGATTCAGCAGCGCAAAAACTATATTCGAATGTGACGGTAAAACAGATGACTTTAGCGTCCTCTTAAGTCGTAGGATTAACACGACGAATAGGACAGAAGAAAAGCAGACACGTTGAGCGGCGAGTAAACGGAGCGGAGGATCCAGAAGAATGTAGATAGAAAGAATGTCATAAGATTTATAATCCAAAAGTAACCGTTATCAGTGAAAATTGGGATATGTTGTTGGGAAATATGAATAAAATTATACTGAAATGTGGCCCAATGAGGCGCGAGGAAGCGGTCGAGGGACGATTAGGAAAGTCACACAGTTCTGGACAATAATAAATCGCGCGATGCGACGTCTGCGCCGTCGATTGCCATCGTCGGCTCGCGTAAAGTTATAAAAGCACGTTGGAAAGTTGTGGAGGTGTACGCGAGCGAAGTATCATCTACTTGATAGTATGGAAGTACCCGGTGTAATATACTTTGACGAAAGCGAAATTATAAGCCAACTTATCCCGAGTACTTGGTCAAATATAGCCGTCGCTTCTCTATTAGCACGATACGAGATCCTTTGCAAACGGGGTCACGAGGTTTTTGCGAAATAAAAGTAGTGCGAAGGTTCGAAGACAAATCCTTTTTTTTCTCTCTCTACGTTGAAATGCAAACGGAAGCGCATGAAGAGACACAATTCGATTTAAATTAAATATGGACAGTCTCCTTATTCTGTCCTAGAATCTAATTATGACAAGTGACTCAATTCGGCAAGTCATCTCAAGAGTCATTCGGAGAGAAGACTACGCCAAATAATTTATGCTACCGCAGATAATTCATCTTTAATGCATAGCACATTGCACATGTGTCTCTTTGAAAGTTCTGACAAGTAGGCAATTCCTGTCGCAGCTGCTGTATCTTCACTATTGCATTTAGCAGGTAAAAACAGGACGTAACACCTAAATCTTTCGCGAGAGTAGTCTCGCGCGCGAATTTCCATGGTTATTTGCATAGCGGCCTGCGCGCGAAATCGTTAAATCAATAAGAATCGCAATCCGCAATCGGCGTGCGCGCCGGTGAATGATAACGCGACGATGTCGAACAAGTCCGCTTTCTTATATCTTGCTTTTTGAAGCTGAATTGCCAAAGGACACCCGTATTCCTTCTGCCATTGGCATCGGTAGTTTTCAGTGCCTTTGACCTGTGCCGAAATGTCTCCTTCGATTCGATTCGCGGCTCGATCTTCGCGGTCCGGAGGAAGAGGCCGGTGATGCGTAGGTACACATCATCTTTCTCTCGTTTTCTCCGTCTCTCTCCATTCTCCCTCGTCCTCTACCTCCCGCGTTCTCGCAGAATACGTACGTCTGTATGCGTATTACGCACACGTATGGGGCGGGTTTGTCGGCAGCCACACACCCGTTGTGTACACAAACGACCTAAGTAGGTACACAGGCACACGGAGAGGAGAGCCGGTAGAGAAGGACCAGCAGTGTGGAGGCGCGTCAACGAGAGACGCACACGACACAAACGGAACGACCGCCTGGAGGAGAACCAATAGCTCGTATGGGTTGTAACCCGGCGGCAGGCGGGGGCCACCCGGTGGGGGCCATCAAAATTTCAAAAACGTACGCGGGCCCCTTTCGCGACGAGGATAAAAGGCAGCAATCGTGATTCTTTCGGGCAGTGTCGATACGATCGCCGTACTCGTTCGAGCGTCACGTGCGAGAAAAAAAGGAAGTCGAATTCGCAAGGTCGAGGAAGTGAAGAGAAGTTTTGAGAAGAGTTGGAGTAATTTAACTTGATTTGGTGTTTCCCTCGCTGTCCGGAAGATCCGTTAAAATGTTCAAGCTCGCGGTAGTCGGCGCACTCTTCGTGGTATCAGCTTTCGCTGCACCGGCGTCGCAGGACGCGACGGTGACGCCGCCGTCCACGATCCTCGAGGAAGCCCTCAACGTGTATACTTCCTGTTCCGGGGAATCGAGTATTTCGGTGTGTCTCAAGATGAAGGCTCTGCGCTACGTCGACCGTGCCGCTCGCTCGGCCGACATCGAGATCGTTGACGGATTCAAGATCGTACAGACCGAGGAGACCAAGAACAGGTAAGAGACAGGATTTATTCGAAATAGTGATCGATATGTCCTACGGTTTTTTTTTCACCCGCTTGTCAAAGCTACGATAATCGACATTGAGTGACATTGGAACGTGAGAAATACAGCACGTGACTTGTGTAGTGAATGCGTGAAGTCATATCCGAAATGTCGCATTTCTTCTAAAGTTTAAGTGTATAAAATTATTTACGTACGAGAAAAACAACTGTCACTATTTCATTGTCGAGCTTGATTAATTATTTGTAATATTTCATCATTTGTTAATTTAAATTCTACTTGAGGACAATGAAAGAGAGAGAGAGAGAGAGAGAGAGAGAGAGAGAGAGAGACACTAAAAGAAAAAAATTTATAATTGATTATCCAATAAACTATTTGGGAAAATTTATTCTTTACTCTCATTTTATCAAACACCGCTGTAATCAGTGAACATGTAACTTGAATGCTATTTAAATCTATTTGATTCTACAACGTCCGGTTGTCGTAAGATTAACATAGAAAGTTGTTAACGGACTTTAAGATAGCTCAAAGCGTTTATGCAGATATAATGATTGTGATAAAAGTACACTTGTTTCTTTCCAGCCGAGCTGACAATGCAAGGTCTCTTAATGATATTGAAAGTACCTTACCTGCAGAGACCGAAGCCAAAGAAGCCGCAATTGATCAGGCCATTGTCGATAGAGCCGCCAAATTCTTATCCACGCACACGGTTGAGCTGAGCCTTCCCGAAGACGTTTCCCGTTCCTTCGATGAAGGTAAACAAAATTTCAATTTTGCTGGTTTTTCAATTTGAAAAAGAAAAATTGTCCTTAAAATTTTAAAGCTCCAGCCAGTGTGCATTTCCTAGACAGCATATTATTTGTATGAAATATTTGAAAATTGAAGATACAAATGAAAGATAAAATTATAGTCTTTCACGAGAAATTGGAAGGTTTACGATTTGGAATGATGTTTCAGCTCGTGGAAAGAAGAAGAAGATCGTGAAATCTCTGTTGCCCATCCTCCTCCTCCTGAAACTCAAAGCTGCTGCCCTTATCCCCATTGCTCTTGGTGCCTTAGCTTTGATAGCCTTCAAAGCCCTCGTCATCGGCAAGATTGCTCTCATCATCAGCTTGATTCTTGGCCTGCAGAAACTGCTTGCTTACAAGAGCCAGAGCTACGAAGTTGTCGCTCATCCTGTTCATGATTATGGGCACGATGCGCACCACGACCATCACGGCTGGGCGAGATCATCGGTCGGTTCTGATCTCGCGTACAAGGCGTACAAACCTTCTGAATAGTTCAAACTTACGCGCAACTTCTCTTTCTTCTAATTTTCTACCTTCATTCGCCAAAGTGATCGTCTCTAATCCGACGATCACCTGAGGGTGGCGTGGCTTAGCTTCTCAGGGATCCGCAGACAAGCTCAACTCGACAGTTCAACGAAGACGTTTGTCTTACGATATACGGACGACTACGTAATTCTACATGGACGGGCAAACGACACGGACGGTACTGGATTTTGTGCGGACTGGATTTAACGGTATCTTGACTTTACGACTCCGACGACGATGCCGCGTTCGACAGTCGATAGGGATGCTACGATCGCCGTGGTTCGATGCGTATCCCGGCAAATCTATGAGCTTATCACTTCACCGACAACGACAAAAGGCTACACTCGGGGAATCTCGAAAGACTCTCGGAGCAGTGGAATCCTGTCAGAATGGTAGAAGTCGCGCCCTCTCGACCATACTCGTGCGGTATCCTTTCAGAATCCTCCGTGTCTATCGCATGCGGAACGACTCGTAGTCAGTACTCGCACGAGACCACCAGATTTAATCCAATGATTATTTATATATCGATCACCCCGTTTCGGGATCATCATGTAACTTATCATATTATTTATAAATAAATTGTAATTTTTGTATAATATTAAAAGTTGACTTAACTTCATGTTTCTCTAAATATTCCTTCCACTATCCTTTACCACAGACACGCCTAATATAAGATTGTTTGAAGGAAGAATAATAATAAGATGGCGACAAACTATAAGACAATTCAGACTTCAAATTAAAATTATTTAGACACTAACATCCTGCCTTGGCTCTTACTCCTTTGTTACTTTGTATTTGTATTTTCACATTGGAGCCTTATGAACTTAATTAATTGTATACGAAAATTACTATTAGGTCACCAAGATCCAGCTCGGATCAAAAATTTTCTCTAATTAGTTGCCGGAGTCATATCGATCCTGTTTCACGTATTACAAACTATAGCATGTACAACTTATTTGCAAAATTTTACATCAGAAACAAGTTTGAAGTGGAAGACAACGTCTAAAATTAACAGAGACAAAGTATCGTGCCGAAAGCGGGACAAAGATTTTTAAATATACCTTTCAAAAACTTAATGCAATGTCAGAAAATTAACATTATTCGACACAGCTGCAATTCAATTGGAAGAAATTATTGCGAAAAACATTACCTCAGAATCCAATCCAATATCTAATGTCTTTGTCCGAACGTAGCGGACGGTATCTTTAGATCTCGTTTGTTCCAGATTTACGCACATTCGGCAATTATATCCGCGCTACTTGCGTTTCCTAATTCTTCTTGCTCAGCCTGTCAGGCCTGTCTCATCAATTTGACGTTATAACGATCTTTCCGACACTCCATTCTTCGGCCAAAGGAAATTACCCTTCTCAGTGCATCCGGTGTATCGACCAAGCGCCGTGCGCACGAAATACAAACGAAGTATACTTTCGCTACTTGTAAAATCCTCCGAGTGAAACCAATTGTTCTGTCGTGTGTGAACGCCCCCTTGTCGCCTATATAGGTGGCTGATCGTAGGAACAGCATGAACAGTATTTTACGAGAACTTCATTACTCTGCATCTTCTCTGTGCGACAGGATTCTCCGTTACAATCGCGACGAAAAAAAGAAGAAGAAAAGAAACAAAATTATGACAGTTCGAAGATGTGAAAAGCGTTCTGTTCGTCAAAGTTCCTTAAGCACCCGTTATCTTGGAGTGTGGACTGTTTCTTGTGCTTGCCACCTCGGAAGTAATTTAACTAAAACGACTATGTGAAACGACTGTGCGAAAGTTTTTCACGAACCTCGCATAATTTCGTTCAGTTTATCTCAAGTCTTATCAATTTTTTGTCCCATGTTTTATTTCGTTTAAACACGTTTATACGACGTGAAGGGATCGGCTAAGGTCGGTGGTCCAAAGATGAAAAGCGAATTCCGCTATTTATGTCTGTTTATTCTCGTGTCAACGAGTTTCACGGTGATAATGGAGCCCAAGGAGCATATTACTCTGGATAATGGACATTCGTACAGCTTTAACGAAGCCTTCGGTGCGTGTCTCGCCAAGAAGGAACACGGTACGTTTGAATGCGTAAATCGTGGTATTCTAAGCGCGCTGCAGTCTTTAAACGACGAGGATAGCCTCGAGATTGGAAAGATGCGACTGGACAAAGCGGAGGGCTACGGCAGAGATCTTCTGGATCTGGATTACGATCCGAAGGATTTTGGAAATGTCGTGAAGGCAGCTGCCAGACTGATGGAGCGCCGCAACATCAAATGGAATCTGGATAATATTTATCCGGGATTACAGATGCGCGTTGGACCAATGCTAAACGGGAACGGACTACTGGAATTTGTTCTTAATGAAAGAGTTGCTTCGTACGGCGATAGACAGGCCAGTGCAGGTAAATTGTAATATTACTTCTGCAAAGTTAATGGAGCATTTCGGGATCAAGCATTTTGGGATCAAGCTCATTAAAGATAATCGAGCTTGATCCCATATAATTTATGGACAGTATTAAAACTGAGTTTCAAATACGCACATGCACAACTGCTCTGCTGTAGAACCTGCATTTTACAATTTTATATTTTGCAAAGATAAGCGCGGAACATTTTTTCGACGTATCCGAATGCTTTCATATACAACTTTTTTTTTTAATACCGTAACTTTTGTAAGTACTGTTTTAAATGTACATGCGTCTTTCGCTAATAAATTGCGGAAATCATGTAATGCAAGAGTCACGTGCAATTGCTAGAAATTTATAAAAGAATGATGGCACAAAATTACTAAGTGCTTGCTTCGAAAGATTGTAGCTTGTTACACGCGAAATTACTCGCGCTGCATCAGCACAGAATCAAACCTCCGCGCTGGCTCTTGTACTGGCTAAGACGTAACGTGTTCCAACCGGTTTCAAGAACGTCCTCCAGCAGGCAGCACGGTCAAGGCAACGGAACTGGCTGCAAATTCAAGGTCACGTTCTATCGTTTCAGGAAGGCAGCTGACCAGACACATATTACTGCCACTTCTATTGGGTTTCAAATTCAATCTGGCGTCCCTAATCCCGCTTATGTTCGGCTTCCTGTTAATCGTCACCAAGAAGGCCCTTATATTGACGAAGATGGCGTTGTTTCTGATCGGTCTTTTAGGATGGAATACATTCTTTTCCGGGGCACCGGCAGCACCTCCTTACGCGGCGAACGCGTTCAATGGCTTCCATGCTTACGGACACGAGACACCTGCTGGCGTATACACCCATTACGAGCACAATTTTCCGCAGCGACCTTACAGGCCGCTGCAGGACTACAGTCCTTACGATCAGCATGTTATTAGGGAAGTCGTCAATGTTTACGATGGAAATAACGATTCGGGGCAGAATAGACAAAGTGCGAAAAAATTTGTTTTTGACTCCAAATAATTGACATAAGAATCACTTGACGCCAGCGGATGAATCAACAC